ATTAAATTAACTATAAAGTCTATAATAATTATAATAATTATATATACGATAATAATTATACCCCCAAAATATTAACTATCTATAATAATTATATAATTATATATATATATATATATATATTAAATTTTGAATTAAATTTTATAAAAACTATAATAATTATTAATTAATATGCATGATGCATGATGTATCCATTGATTTGATTCCATTCCATTCCTGCCGCCCTTTTTGAAGAAAAATGGAGGAAAAATGAAAATGATAAGAAAAGTTGAAAATGAAACAAAAAAGTGAGGAAATTAAGGAAAGATGTTGGAGGGAAAAGTGAAAATTATAAGAAAAGTTAAAAAGGAAACAAAAAAGAGAGGGAAAAATGAAAATTAATAGAAGTGGTGAGAATTTTTTTTTTTTTTTTAAGTTAACTTTTTATCACACATATGACATATCTCACTATTTTTATAATGACACACGTGATGTACTACTCCGTCTACCAGTCAATTATACGTACAAAATAAATAGATTTAAATCTACTTAATAAATAAATAAATATATATATATATATATATATGTGTGTGTGTGTGTGTGTGTGTGTGTATGTATACACACCATTGGAACTTGATGGGATACAAATTTTCCGAAACTAATTTCAACGATCACAACCGTCAAACTTGTTTATATATGCTTTGAGATCACATCAGCAAAAAATCGCAAAAAAAAAAAACATTCAGAGATCAAGTAACGTGACAAAGCTTTTCGACGGTTATAAACGAAAAATCACGATTTAACGGTTATTTTAACTTCGATTTTGATGATTTTTTACAGGTACACTCATTGACCCTATATGAATACAATGAAGGAATTCGATCTTCAATTTAAAATATTTACACAAGTGGATACCACAAAATCTTATGTTATACTTAATAAAAGTATAAATAAACTCTAAGTGTTAGTCAATATATCGTTTTGATGGGATGCGAATTCTCCAAAACTAATTTCAACAATCCAAACCGTCAAACTTGTTTGTATATGCTTGGAGATCACATCAGCAAAAATCACAAAAAACAAACATTCAGAGATCAAGTAACGGGACAAAACCTTTCGACGATTATAAACAAAAAATCATGATTTAACGGTTATTTTAACTCTAATTTCGATGATTTTTTACAGGTACACTCCTTGACCCTATATGAATACAATGAATGAATTCGATCTTCAATTTAAAATATTTACACAAGTGGATACTACAAAATCTTATGTTATACTTAATGAAAGTATAAATAAACTCTAAGTATTAGTCAATCTACCGTTTTGATGGGATACGAATTCTCCAAAACTAATTTCAATGATCTAAACTGTCAAACTTGTTTGCATATGCTTGGAGATCACATCAGCAAAAAATCACAAAAAACAAACATTTAGAGATCAAGTAACGGGACAAAGCTTTTCGACGGTTATAAACGAAAAATCACAATTTAACGGTTATTTTAACTCCGATTTTGATGATTTTATACAGCTACACTCCTTGACCCTATATGAATACAATGAATAAGTTTGATCTTCAATTTAAAATATTTACACAAGTGGATACCACAAAATCTTATGTTATACTTAATGAAAGTATAAATAAATTCTTTAAGTGTTAGTTAATCTATCGTTTTGATGGGATACAAATTCTCCAAAACTAATTTCAATGATCCAAACCGTCAAACTTGTTTGTATATGCTTGGAGATCACATCAATAAAAAATCACAAAAAAAAAACATTCAGAGATCAAGTAACGGGATAAAACTTTTCGACGGTTATAAACGAAAAATCACGATTTAACGGTTATTTTAACTCCGATTTTGATGATTTTTTACAGGTACACTCCTTGACCCTATATGAATACAATGAATGAATTCGATCTTCAATTTAAAATATTTACACAAGGGGATACCACAAAATCTATCGTTATACTTAATGAAAGTATAAATAAACTCTAAGTGTTAGTCAATCTATTGTTTTGTTGGGATACGAATTCTCCAAAACTAATTTCAACGATCCAAACCGTCAAACTTGTTTTTATATGCTTGGAGATCACATCAACAAAAAATCACAAAAACACAAACATTCAGAGATTAAGTAACGGGACAAAGCTTTTCGACGGTTATAAATGAAAAATCACGATTTAACGGTTATTTTAACTTTGATTTTGATGATTTTTTTACAGGTACACTCCTTGACCCTATATGAATAAAATGAATGAATTTGATTTTCAATTTAAAATATTTACACAAGTGGATACCACAAAATCTTATGTTATACTTAATGAAAGTATAAATAAACTCTAAGTGTTAGTCAATCTATCGTTTTGTTGGGATACGAATTCTCCAAAACTAATTTCAACGATCCAAACCGTCAAACTTGTTTGTATATGCTTGGAGATCACATCAACAAAAAATACCAGAAACCAAACATTCAGAGATCAAGTAACGGGACAAAGCTTTTCGACGGTTATAAACGAAAAATCACAATTTAACAGTTATTTTAACTCTGATTTTGATGATTTTTTACAGAGACACTCCTTGACCTAATATGAATACAATGAATGACTTCGATTTTCAATTGAAAATATTTACACAAGTGGATACCACAAAATCTTATGTTATACTTAATAAAAGTATAAATAAACTCTAAGTGTTAGTCAATCTATCATTTTGTTGGGATACGAATTCTCCAAAACTAATTTCAACGATCCAAACCGTCAAACTTGTTTGTATATGTTTGGAGATCACATCAACAAAAAATCACAAAAAACAAACATTTAGAGATCAAGTAACGGGACAAAGCTTTTCGATGGTTATATACGAAAAATCACGATTTAACGGTTATTTTAATATATTTTTATATGGTATAGTATTATTATTTTATTTCTTTTCATAATTATTTTGGTAAACTTCTCATAATTTGAATGATTTTTAATGTTTAGTTTTTCTATACTTAGTTTATGCAGAAGAGAGTTCTGACGTGGAAAACCTTACTGAAAACATCTTCAACATAGCTCTTCAAGGCAATAAATCAAGCCAAAGTTTCAATACAATTTCATGATGATCGATGTAAATTGAAGATTTTGTAGATAGAGGTGTAAACTTTTGAGAAAGACTTACAATCTTGAAAACAAAAACCCTTTCATTTTGCATATCTTTGCACATTTAATATTTATAATATATTAGTAGTGTATGTATTATTTTTTTATTTGGCTCTTATTTTTTAGTGTAGATATAATACTTAAACGATAAATGTTTTAATGTTTTGAAGTAATATTTATGTGGCAATATGTGGTATATGCAAATTTAAAAAAAAAATATATTTTTTTCTTAACGGGTAATAACGGGTCGGGTCACTTTACCCGTTGGGTAAAGTGACCCGACCTGTTAAGGACCCGCTAAGATAACGGGTGTGACACGACACGACCCGTTAAGATAACAGGTGTTACACGAAAACGACACGAACACGACAGACACGACCCGTTTGCCAGGCCTATTGAAGACCCTTCCGTCGGGATAACCTCACCCCATTATTTAATTATGTTCTAGTGGACGAGGTATATTTCGTCAGTTAAACACACTATTGCCCGACAACGCATTTCGTTGGTTAAACCACCACTTAATCAACGAAGTTGTTCATCCGTTATTTAAGTCACCGCGCGACGAGTTTTACCCGACTACTCTTTTTCAACGAACGTCCACCGATTAAGATTTATGGCGACGAATTTTTCATTTTAGCCGACGAATTTCTTCCGTCTCGTAATTATTTTTTTTTTTTTTTTTTTTTTTTGTAGTGATCATTCGTATGTGTCGAATAAATCGATATATATGGTAATAAGTAGCATCGTCATAATGAATTAATAATTTCTTTGATTCATATGGATGACTAAACGGTCTTCAACTCAAATGAATTTTCTTAGAAATGATCTTTGAATGATAATAAAATAAAAATAAAAAGATTATCTCCAAGAAAATTCATTGAGTTAATTAGTGGCATACACTCTTCATTTTGTTAGAGAAGGATGAGAAGATCTTCAAATTCAACAGGAAGACAATTGACACTTATTAATGAACTAGCCTTCATGCATGTGCTTACGCGTGTGCAAAAGTATTTTTATAATCACTGTGTGCTACGCTCAACTTACACATTTTAAATGTATTTATATGCATGAATTGCTTCAATATTTTTATTTTTTTATGACAAAAAGAAAGTCAAATATTTGGACTAAATGAATAATATTAGACCATACTAGAAGAAACCTCTCATAAACCAATCAAAGCAGTCGAATCCACATAATAAAATTGGTCTTTCAATTTGCATCTACATTCTATTGAATTTACATTAAAAATAGAGAATAATATTTAACAAACAACTAATTGAATCGCATTATTGTGCGCGCACGAAAGACCTTTTTTGTAACATCCCACATCGACCAACGGAGAGGGGGTGATGTGCCTTATATGTACATGTCCACCTCCGTATAGCACGAGACTTTTTTGGGACTCACTGGCTTCAAGTTCCATCGAAACTCTGAAGTTAAGCGAGTTCGGGCGAGAGCAAGCCCAGGATGGGTGACCCACCGGAAAGTTCTCATGTGAATTCCCAGAAACAAAATTGTAAGGGCGTGGTCGGGGCCCAAAACAAACAATATCATGCTACGGTGGAGTCAAGCCCAAGATGTGATGGAGCCCGGGTCGGGATGTGACATTTTTTATCACCGGCGCTACACACCTTTTAAGATACTTTGAATGTATTTAAAAATAGAGAAAATAATATTGAATAGGCCTTTTGATGTTATATTTGGTGAAGCCGTGTCCTCTATAAAAGATAAAAGATAGAAAAAATGGTTCACATCACATATATACCATACTTCGTCATTTTATGATTATTGTCCTCTTTTACATATATCAAGTAGAAAGATAATATATATATATATATATATATATATATATATATATATATATAATTTTAATTGCCATCAGCTTTGAGATATGTTTTTCAAAGGAGAAATCTTGAGAGCCCTACTTTCTCACCAGTTTCCTGAACATCAATTTGAGTTTGGAGTTTATACTCCCTCAAAGTGAACTGCCTATAAGTTGATGGTTCATCACCGCAGCTTCGGACCACTACATCGTAGGAGGGGCAGTAGAAATATGCCACAGAAAACCTCTCAACTTCTTGTCCGGTAACCACTCGGTGTTTGATGCTCTTATATATGCCATTGCTCAAGGCCTGCGTTATGTGACACATACGAATACACATATATTAGGGTATATGTTTTCCAAGAGACATTTTTGGAAGCTGGAATTGGAGCATATGTAGTACATATTTATGATACTATTTCCCCAATATGTATGAGAAATACCCATATGTATATTCGAAAAATTGATATGTTGAATTTTAATATATATCAAAGTTCCTATTTAACTATAACAAAATAGAATAAAAAATTGAGTCAAACCTAATCCCAATATCTAAAATCCGATTATACACTTATTTATTCTTTATTTATTTTTTTTAATAAAAGTAAGGGTAATGCTAAAGAAACTAAAATTTTAAATTAAATTTGCAAACTAAATGATGTGCCACCAATAAGACATAAACACATTAAAATCAACATTTAAATAATAATTCAATTATCAACAACCACATCATTTAGTTTTTAATATCCTTCAACAATCATCCTTGTAAAAACCCTACTAAAACTGAAACTTTCACCCCTCTTAAGTTATACAAAGTATAATTTGAACAATATAACTTAAAGATATATGAATATTACCTCAAACAAGTCCCCAATGTTGACAATGAGAGCTTCAGGATTGGGTTTAACAGCCATCCATCTTCCATCTTTAAATATTTCCAGACCTCCCACTTGGTCCTGGTGAACTATAGTTAGGAAATCGGTATCAGTGTGCGAGACGAGGCCAAACACTTGCGAAGGAAACGGACGTGGAGCGTATCTATTCAGTCGAAGATAACTACTTCTTGGTGGGCAATTCTCTTCAAAGTAAATCGATTTGACACCCAAAGGCTGTGCCAGAATTTCAGCTAAGTTTTTAGCCAAACCAGATACCACCTTCACGAATGCTTCAATTGTTGACCTATAAGACGGTAATTAACCAAACATGGAAAATAATTGGGGGAAAATAATAAACTAAGGTCGTTTGATAACAATTTCGTCTACAATTTTTTCTTTTTTGACAACTGAAAACCAAAAACTTTTGGTTAATGTTTTCAATTTTTATTCCAATGAACAGAAACAAAAAACTGAAAGATATTTTATTAAGCTTTCAAAATTTATATAGTTTGGTTTTGATTTTCAATTTTCTCTTTTTTTTTTAAAAAAAAAAAACTAAAAATAATTACCAAATAAGTTTTCAAATAAAAATTAAAATAATTATCAAACGGATCATAAATAATTTACTAGTCTATGATCATAAGCATATTGTGGCGACAAAATACTTGGGGTAGGAGCACAGCATTTTCACGTGGTTTTGTTAGCTCATGTGATATAGTTACGGTTGAGAAACATATGAATTTGTTTAGCAGGTGACGCTAGCTTTTATCACACTAACAAAAGCCAATTACAACTATGCACTTCGATTCCTGTTAGTTCTCGTCCTTCTTAACAACTAACTATTTAACTCACAAACGTTATCGTTATCTTAAACAAACACACGATCTTTTGTTTCAAGCCATGATATCAATCAATAAAACAGACACATGTTTATAATATTTGTTGATGAAATTACCACAGTAACAAAAACACGGATTATAATATTTGTGAATGACAAGTAGATTATGCAAGCAACATAAAATACAAATATTCGTACTTTACATCGCTTGCATACCCGATTAAAATTACGACAAATTTTTTAAACACGTATTTCTCAAGCTAAGTAAAGTATGAATATTCGAATTTGTGAATGACCTCTATTGAAATTTACCCAAAGCCTGTCGGGCCAAAGACATTCATGCATGTTATACATATGTGGTAATCACGTGATAACGACTGATCCATGCATGTGGCAGGCCAGGCAACGGATGGTGCCTGCCTGCAAGAACGTAGTAGGGTTAGACGTCCCCCTGCTGGATTGACAAATGACAACATGTCTCCCTTCAAGTACGAAATGCGACATATTCAGGTACCCTACAATCCCTATCCATATAATGCAGATGGATTCTAAAAAAACGTACTTTATCCATCCACATATAGGCTATAGCTAACAATGAGTCCTCATACCCAGCTAATGATATGTTTCTTCACTGGCCGATGTATAAAGGGACCAAGATGATCCCAGACCTAACATGAATTTGAAAAAAATAAGATTAGTATACACCTATTTCTATTGTTTTGCAAATCCTTTTATTAGGCAATGCTTCAAACAAATTCAATCTTTCTCTCTTTTTTCATTCCAATACATCGTCCTCCTATTGCAGAATTAAGTATATTTTATCAGTACTGCTCTCCTAAAGTTCTCATTTTGAAGACTTATGAGGTCCAAATGCATACTAGTTGCAAGATTATATTAGTTTAAATTTAAAGGCTTGAAATATTTATCAACTTAAAAAATCTATGAACCAATGGAAAACTCAATTTTTTGTTTTGGTTTATGTTGCCAAATATTTTAAGCTATTGAATCTAAACTAATATAGTCTTGTTGCTATTACGCAGTTAGTCCTCACAAGTCCTCAAATGAGGACCTTAAAAGAGTAGGACTCATATTTTATATGATTATTTATCATATATCATCAATAACCTATAAATTAAAACCCATCATTCAGTTTTAATTAAAAAAAATTCTTCCTTCACAATCTAATCTCTTTCATGATGCACTACTGACGATTCCCCCTCTTCTTTTGAAATCTGATGTGCATTTTACCATTCCAAATTCTAAATCTATTGAATAAGCAAACAATAAGGTTTGTAAAACTCTGTTATTTTCTATAAACTTTTATATGTTTCTACTCTACTCTACTCTACTCTATCTCTTACTTTGAGTACTAGGATTTGTAAATTTTTATTAACTATCCTTATTGAGTTTACTAATTCTTTCAATAGTATAGATGACATCATGTAATAGTTTCAAAATATGAAAACTCGTCTAGAATAGTTATGATTATTTTAAATAGATAAGATTGTTGATGAGATGTTAACTTTAACTTTTAATTACTTTGGATGGATATTAGGGTATTTTGATTAGTAATTCTGTAAATACTATTCTTTTTTTTTTTTATTCTTTTTTTTATCTAGCCCTCTCACATGATACCCTATGAGTCTATATATTCTCCAATGACCAATTGTGAAATCCTGTCCCCGGATTTCACTATTTAAAATTACATATTTTGTATTCTTAGTTTCGACGCATTTATAATTACGGCGTATAGTTTTTTTTTTTGGATAAGTAAAAAGACGAAAACGCCCTTAATGAACAAAACAGACTTTTCGAGGACATATTTAATTCCTATATGTTTTGTCATTTTATTTACATATTTGGATAGAACTTGACCTCACAAGTGCGTAGGCAAAAACCGTTCGTGAAACGGAGTTTTAAGGAAGGAGAAATTAGCGGTTAAATGCAAGGGTAAAATAGTAATTAAACACTAATCTGGAAGGCTCCAAATTTGCTAGAGCAGCAATCTAGGTGCCACGTGTATGGCTGAGTTGGGAAGAAGAGAAGAGAAAGGAGGGACAGGATGGGAGAAATTGGCAAACCAAAAAGGAGATAAATAAGGGAAATGAAATGAGGGAGGAACCAGCCAGACCCAGACCCCCTTCGACCTGCCGACCAGACCTAACCGTATCTTCCTATTTCGGCCATCGTTGACTATGGGCCAGTGCCATATTGATCCTCACTTCGAATCCAATTGATCCCTATTCCATTTTCACCCAAACTCGATAAAGATTGGCTTTCTTTTCTCAAAGAATAACGTCGGTGGTGCCGAGAAGTCTATGGCGGTGATTCACCATTCTTGGAAGTATTACAGTCAATTACCACCATCAATCAACTCCTTTCAACCCCAGGAACAATGCCCATAGTTTGGTTGAGGCGTCAGAGCTTGTTTTGGAGTCAAATCTAGGGTTTTGACAGATCGAGGTCAGTTTCAGGTATTTCCTGGCCGAATTGAACTTCAGCCCAGGTATAAAAGTTCTTCCCCTTGGTGTGTTCTACAATTCTATAAAATTTGGTAATTTTTGGAGTTTGTCGGAAAATTAGGTTTCCATTCGCCGGAAACTGGCAAATGCAGCGACGCATGGCCAGTGGGCCGACGATGCCTTTTTAAGTTAAATTAGATGTCCTAATTTCATATTTGATATCCATTTGATGTGATTTGATTGTTTGAACCTAGTTTCATTATGGTATGCCACTTTATCATTATATGAATCGACGATCCGACCGTTGGATCGACTATCATTATATGAATCGACGATCCGACCGTCGGATCGACATAAAATTTGAAGTACAGATCTTGATGAATTGAATTACTGGGGTTGACTTTGATCCAGATGTTTTTAACCGTCCTTAAGTTCTAAAATTAGTATTACTAGAGACTTAATGAGGCTTTGCGGACCTATCTCGATGAGTGAATTCAATATATATGATATGGTTATTACCTTGATTTTGTATTTAGTATCCTTTGTGGATATGACTTGGTTTTATAAATGTGATTTCTATTAAAATGTGATTTTTAATAATTTGCCATCGATCTAGTATTATGAAATGTGATTTGACTTCCGCATTGGGAATATTTGTGAAATGTGATTGAAATGCATGTTGGATTGTTTGTTAAATGTGAAAGCTAGCAGTGGACCGTTAACCTATTGTCATGGGGATTTGTTGCTTCATTATCATTTCATTTCTTGCTTATTTAGTCCGTTCTAAATTTAGTACTAGTGCTTGTTTCATTTCGAAGAGCCTTCATGAATTGAGTAACTTGATTCATGTCTTGTTTCTTCGAACCGTTGTTATGTTTCTTGGACTTCTGCTCGATTCCATTGAGTGGTCTGGAACTGAGTTTTATTGAGTGGTCTGGTTCCCTGCTCCGTCTGGATTCCGTTGAGTGGTCCGAAATTGTATCCTGCTTTGGAATTTCGTTGAGTGGTTTGATATCCATTGTACTCCGCAATTTTGTTGAGTGGTCTGATATCCATTGTACTCTGCAATTCCGCTAAGTGGTCCGAAATCATATCCACTTGGATTTCATTGAGAAGTCCGAAATCCCTTCTACTCCGCAATTCCGTTGAGTGGTCCAGAATTGTATACTGGTTTGAATTCCGTTTAGTGGTCCAAAATCCCACTTAGTATTTTGGTTCCATTGAGTGGTCTAAAACCTGATGTTGTTGGATTCATTGAGTGGTTCAAAATCACATCATTGACTTCGTTGATTCGTTGGATTTGGTCTAAATTGAGAAAACTTCATAGATGTAGGCTTTGGCCAAAGTGTGTCGCTCTAGCCCTACATTTTGGGGTATTGTATGGATTATTAATTGGCGTGATTGTGGAATGGTGTTGGAAAGCATATGTGTGTTTGAATGGCAAGATGACAACTATTGTTTGGCTTATGGTTGATGTGTAGTGTGGTACTCTACGTTTTCTGCTAGGAAGTGTTTTACGAAAAGTTCAGAGTTTAACAAATGATGAACTACGAATGGCTTGATCCCGTCAGAGGGTACGTAGGCAGTCTAACAAAGAGGTTAGATGCAGCCATAGAGTAAACGAAAAATTACTATGCAATTCAAATCTTGAGTTGTGCTTTGTCCATATCCCGGGGGCGGGGTATGTTAGATATACGGGTACTTGGTGACATCCCGTGTCGATTCCAACGTACATCGGGATCTGGACGTGACACCAATACATTGATTTGAAGATAATTCACACAAAAATACATAAAATTAAACTCCTAAAATTACCACAAATACAAGCACCTTCATACTATAGCGCAAGCACCACGATACAAATCCACCACAAAGACCACAAACATAACAGTAGATATGCTGCAGTAGGGGTTGGGATTTTTCTCATTTTCCTTGGTCACTGGTCAGTTGTCTTGCAAATTTAGATATTATGAAATCTTAGAAAAATACTCACGCAAGAAGTTTAGTTTAGAGTTCAATAATATGCTAAAAATAACTAATTTTACTAACCAATGAAAATATATAT